TTTCCGAATGAATCACAGAGTGGTTTGAGGACCGGGATATCCGTAGGGAGACCAAGGGGCTTGTTAATAAAGCTATTTCTGTTCCCTTAGCAGCCACGTGTCCACAAAAGTCAACATTGACACTGAAATACAATACCACCTGAGCTCTGCAAGTGCAGCATTCTTCCGAATGAAGCACAGAGTGTTTGAGGACCGGGATATCCGTAGGGAGACCAAGGGGCTTGTTTACAAAGCTATTTCCGCTCCCTTGGCAGCAACCTCTCCACAAAAGTCAATATTGACACTGAAATACAACACCACCTGAGCTCTGCAAGTGCAGCATTTTTCCGAACGAAGCACAGAGTGTTTGAGGACCGGGATATCCATGCTGAGACCAAAGGGCTTGTTTATAAACCTATTGAATCACATAGTGATTGAGGACCGGGATATCCGTAGGGAGACCAAGGGGCTTGTTTACAAAACTATTTCCGCTCCCTTAGCAGCCACCTCTCCACAAAAGTCAACATTGACACTGAAATACAACACCACCTGAGCTCTGCAAGTGCAGCATTTTTCCAAATGAAGCAGAGTGTTTGAGGACCGGGACATCAGTAGGGAGACCAAGGGGCTTGTTTATAAAGCTATTTCTGCTCCTTTGGCAGCCACCTCTCCACAAAAGTCAATATTGACACTGAAATACAAAACTGTTTGAGCTCTGCAAGTGCAGCATTTTTCCGAATGAAGCAGAGAGTGTTTGAGGACCAGGATATCTGTAGGTAGACCAAAGGGCTTGTTTATAAAGTATTTCCGCTCCCTTGGCAGCCACCTCTCCACAAAAGTCAACATTGACACTGAAATACAACATGCCCTGAGCTCTGCAAGTGCAGCATTTTTCCGAATAAAGCAGAGAGTGTTTGAGGACCGGGACATCCGTAGGGATACCAAGGTGCTTGTTTATAAAGCTATTGTCCTCCCAACCCTGCTATATGCCTGCAAGACGTGGACTGTCTACAGACATCACATGAAACTCCTGGAACGACTCCATCAGTGTTGCCTCCAAAAAATCTTGCAAATCTCTTGGGAAGACAAGCGGACAAATGTCAGCATGGTGGAAGAAGCAAAGACCACCAGCACTGAAGCGGTCGTCTGCCATCAACTCCACTGGACTGCCCACATTGTCTGGATGCCCGACCACCGTCTCCCAAAGCAGTTACTCTACTCCGAACTCAAGAATGTTGGTGGGCAGGAAAAGAGATTGAAAGAAGGGCTCAAAGCCAGCCTTAAAAACTGTGGCATAGACACTGACAACTGGAAAGCCCTGGCCCTTGAGCGCTCCAGCTGGAAGTCAGCTGTGACCAGCAGTGCTGTAGAATTTGAAGAGGGCAAAAGAGAGAAATGTGCTTTGAAGAGGGCAAAAAAGAGAACATTGGTAAATCCAACTTCACAATATCTTTGTTGATTGACATCAGATATCCATACAAGGCTAAAGTAGTTTTCCAAGCACTACCTACATTATCAGCTTTACCTGGAGATATCAGGCATCCTGCATACAAAGTAAGTGGTCTACGACTGAGATATGTGGCACATCTTGAGCACATCATCTAAGACAGCAGCAGCCCTGTGTTGATTGCGGCCAACAGCTTGGAGGATCGAATCTGGAGAGAGCTTGGATGAGCTCCCTCTGTTAGCTCCAGCTCCCCGTGCCGGGACATGAGAGAAGCCTCCCACATGGATGGTAAAGCATCACAACATCTGGGTGTCCCCTAGGCAACGTCCTTGTAGACGGCCAAATATCTCACACCAGAAGCGACTTGCAGTTTCTCAACCTACCTAATGTTCATTTGTGGGATCAACATAACTCAAAAACCACTGGACGAATTGACACCAAATTTGGACAGCATACACCTAACAACCCAATGTATGTCCTTCACTCAAAAAAATTTGATTTTGTCATTTGGGAGTTGTTGTTTTTTGGATTTATAGTTCACCTACAATCCAAGAACATTCTGAACTCCACCAACAATGGAATTGAAGCAATCTTGGCACACAAAACTCTCATGACCAACAGAAAATACTGGAAGGGTTTGGTGGGCATTGACCTTGAGTTTGGGATTAGTACTTCACCTTCATCCAGAGAACACTGTGGACTCAAAAATTATGGATCTGGACCACGAATACTCAATATGGCCAAATACAAACACTGGTTGGGTTTAGGGAAAATAGACTGGACATTTGGGAGAGGTAGATGCAGGGATTTATAGTTCACCTACAATCCAAGAGCATTCTGAACTCCACCAACAATGGAATTGAAGCAATCTTAGCACACAGAACTCCCATGACCAAAAGAAAATACTGGACGGGTTTGGAGGACATTGACCTTGAATTTTGGAGTTGTAGTTCGCCTACATCCAGAGAGCACTGTGGACTCAAAAAATGATGGATCTGTACCAAACTCGGCACTCAATATGGCCAAATGTAAACACTGCTTGAGTTTAGGAAAAATAGACTTGACATTTGGGAGATGTAGTTGCAGGGATTTATAGTTCACCTACAATCCAAAAGCATTCTGAACTCCACCAACGATGAAATTGAACCAAAGTTGACACACAGAACTCACATGACCAACAGAAAATACTGGAAGGGTTTGGTTGGCATTGACCTTGAGTTTGGGAGTTGTGGTTCACCTACATTCAGAGAACACTGTGGACTCAAACAATGATGGGAGTTGTAGTTCATCTATATCCAGAGTGCACTGTAGACTCAAACAATGATGGATCTGAACCAAACTCTACACGAATACTCAATATGCCCAAATGTAAACACTGGTTGAATTTAGGGCAAATAGACTTGACATTTGGGAGTTGGAGTTGCTGAGATTTATAGTTCACCTACGATCAACGAGCATTCTGAACACCACCAACAATAGAATTGGGTCAAACTTGGAACACAGAACTCCCACGTCCAAATAAGCAACTTCTCACAGCCCTGAGCATAACCTTGTTCTCCTCCTAATAGTTGCAAGTTCATTAAGTATCAAAACAGGGCAAAGCTGATGGCTTTAAACAATGAATGAGACAAAATTCTCACAAAAGGTGTGCTTAGCATTGCTGTCAACCATTCACCTATCATCCTTGCGGACTGGCCATGAAGGCAAGAAATCCCTTCTAGATCACTGTTTCTCAAACCTCCTAATACTGTTCCTCATGTTGTGATGACTCCCCAACCATAACATTATTTTCGTTGCTACTTGGTAACTGTCATTTTGCTACTGTTGTGAATAGTCATGTAAATATCTGATATGCAGGATGTATTTTCATTCACTGGACCAAACTGGGCACAAATACCCAATACTCAATATGCCCAAATGGGAAAACTGGTGGAATTTGGGGGAAAGAGACCTTGGCATTTGGGAGTTGTAGCTGCTGGGACTTATAGTTCACCTACAATCAAAAACATCTGAATTCCATCAACGATGGAAGAGAAGTATGGAAGGAAGGGAAGGACGGGGGAAAGAAGAAGGAATGAAGGAGGGAAGGGAAGTGAAAAGAAGGGAAGGAAGGGAGGAGAAAGAGGGAGGAAAGAGGGAAGGAAGGACCAAAGGGTGGTAGAGAACTATGGAAGGAAGGAAGGGAAAGAGGGATGAAAGAGGGAAGGAACGAAGAAGGGAAGGGAAGGAAAGAAGGGAGGAAGGAGAAAGAGGGAGGGAGGGAAAGGAAGAAGGAAGGTTAGGCGGACAAAAGGAGGGAAGGAAGGAAGGAAGGAAGGAAGGAAGGAAGGAAGGAAGGAAGGAAGGAGAAAAAGGGAGAGAGGGAAGGAGGGAGGAAAGAGGGAAGGAAAGACAAAAGGAAAGGAAGGGTGAAAGAGAAGGAAGGAAGGAAGGAAAGAGAAAGAAGGAAGGAGGGGGGAAAGAGTGAAGGAAGGAAAGACCAAAGGGTAGAAGGGAAGTGTGGAAGAAAGGAAAGAGAGAGGAAAGAGTGAGGAAAGGAAGGATGAATGGAAGGAAGGAAGGAGAAAGAGGAAGGGAAGGAGGAAGGAAAGAGAAAGAGGGAGAGAGGGAAGGAGGAAGGAAAGAGGAAAGGAAGGAAGGACCAAAGGGTAGAAGGGATGTATGGATGGATGGATGGATGGATGGATTAAGGAGGGAACTGTGGAAGGAAGGAGAAAGAGGGAGGGAAGGAGGAAGGAAAGAGGAAAGGAAGGAAGGACCAAAGGGTAGAAGGGATGTATGGATGGATGGAAGGAAGGAAGGAAGGAAGGAAGGAAGGAAGGAAGGAAGGAAGGAAGGGTGGGTGGAGGAAGGGAGGAAGGATGGAGGAAGGGAGGAAGGAAAGGAAAGAGGGAAGGAAAGAGGGAAGGAAGAGGAGAGAGGGGAAGGAAGGACGAAAGAGCAAAGGAAGGAAGGACCAAAGGGTAGAAGGGAGGCATGGAAGGAAGGAAGGGTGAGGAGGAAGGAAGGAAGGAAGGAAGGAAGGAAGGAAGGAAGGAAGGAAGGAAGGAAGGAAGGAAGGAGAAAGGGGGAGAGAAAAGAGGGAAGGAAGGATGAAAGGGTGAAAGGGAAGGAGGGAGAAAGAGGGAGGTAAGGGAGGAAGGAAGGAAGGAAGGAAGGAAGGAAGGAAGGAAGGAAGGAAGGAGAAAGAGGGAGGGAAGGAGGGAGGAAAGAGCAAAGGAAGGAATAACCAAAGGGGAGAAGGGAAGCATGGAAGGCAGGAAGGGAAGGAGGGAGGAGCGAAGGAAGGAAGGATGGCAGGAAGGAGAAAGAGGGAGGGAAGGAGGAAGGACGGACAGGGCCTGGGTTTGCCCCTACCTGAGCTCCATTAGATGGAAGTGCAGATCCAGCCTGGGAGTGGACTGCATGTGTGTACACAGGCAGAGTTTTCCACTTTGTGAATGGATTGTGTACACAAACTTTGTGAATGAAGGTATATCCACACAGAGACATGCAACAGGAAGGCATGGGCGGACTTGGGCCCTTCAGGTGTCAACTCCCCCCCGCCTCTGAAGCCCCCCAAGGAGAGCCCTACCTTGCAGGAGTAGGTCTGGTGGACAGGGTCGACGTTGAGGATCTCCTCCACGGTGCCGGTGAGGACCACATTGGCCTCTTCCTCTCTCCTCTCCAGCTCCCTCTCGCCGGGGCAGCCCCCTTGGGAGGAGGAGGAGAGCAGGAGCAGCAGTCCAAGGGGAGCCCACCAACAGCCCCTCGCCATGGCCGGCACAAAGCAGGAAAGCAGGGAAGCAGGCAAGGCAAGGCAAGGCAAGGCAAGCAGGCGAGCTCTCCCAGCCCAAAGGAAGCTCGGAAAGGAGGAAGGTACTTTTGTCGCTGGAAGGAGGGAGGGCAGAGCAGGAAAGGAGGAGGAAGAGGAGGAGGAGGAGAAAGAGAGCCCTCTTCCCCTCCCTCTCTCTTTCTCTCTCTTTCTCTCTCTCTCTCAGGGAGGGGATTTGCCCATTTTTGCATGCGATCTGAATTGCTGATAAGGTACAAAAAAAAGGGGAGGGGAAAAGGCACAGAGGAGGCTGAGCCCCCTTTTCTAAAGCAGAGAGAAAGAGAGAGAGAGAGAATGAAAGGAGGGAAAGGGAAAGGGAGGAAGAGAGAGGACGCCACCAGCCGACAGGACTGAGGCGTTCCTCCTGGAGGCCTCCCAACGTGATGCGACTTCCAAAGGGGCAGCTGGAGAGAGAGAGAGAGAAAGGAAGGAAGGAAGGGGAGAAAGAGGTGGGAAAAGGGGTGGGTCTCTCTCCACAGCCCTCCTCCAACTCCCTGCTTCCACATGGGCCATCTAGTCCAACCCCCTGCCATGCAAGAAAAGCACAATCAAAGCACTCCCGACAGATGACCATCCAGCCTCTGTTTCAAAGCCTCCAAAGGACAGATAGATAGATAGATAGATAGATAGATAGATAGATAGATAGATAGATAGATAGATAGATAGATAGAATCACTGAATGCTAGAGTTGGAAGAGACCACATGGGCCACCTAGTCCAACCTCCTACAAGCAGGAAAAGCACGATCAAAGCACCCCCGATAGATGACCATCCAGCCTCTGTTTCAAAGCCTCCGAATCAGATATATAGATAGATAGATAGATAGGATCATTGAATCCTAGAGTTGGAAGAGACCACATGGGCCATCTAGTCCAACCCCTGCCAAGCAGGAAAAGCACAAAGTATCAAGGGAAGGCATACAGCCTCTGATTCAAAGCCTCCAAAGCAGACATATAGATAGATAGAATCTCTGGATGCTAGAGTTGGAAGAGACCACATGGGCCATCTACTCCAACCTCCTGCCAAGCAGGAAAAGCATAATCAAAGCACTCCCAGCAGATGGACATACAGCCTCTGATTCAAAGCCTCCAAAGCAAACAAATAGATAGATAGAATCTCTGAAAGCTAGAATTGAAAGAAACCATATGGGCCATCTAGTTCAATCCCCTACCATGCAGGAAAAGCACAAGCAAAGCACCCCTGACAGACGGACATCCAGCCACAGTTTAAAACCCTCCAAAGAACACCTGGAGGGGCAAGCAGAATCAAGACACTTGGAAGACACTGCTGGAATCAAGACACTTGGAAGAGGCCACATGCAATAGCTAATCCAACCCCCTACCATGAAGGAAAAGCACAAGCAAAGCACCCCCAATAGATGACCATCCAGCCTCTGTTTCATGTGCTAGAGTTGGAAGAGACCACGTGGGCCATCTAGTCCAACCACCTGCCAAGCAGGAAAAGCACAATCAAAGCACCCCCAACAGATGACCATCCAGTCTGTTTCAAAGTCTCCAAATCAGATAGATAGATAGATAGATAGATAGATAGATAGAGAGATAGATAGATAGATAGAATCACTGAATACTAGCACTGGAAGAGACCACATGCGTTACCTAGTCCAACCCCCTACCATGCAGGAAAAGCACAATCAAAGCACCCCTGACAAATGGACATCCAGCCACAGTTTAAAACCCTCCAGAAAGAACAGATTCATCTATACTTGCAGTTTCTCAAGTCGCTCCTGACACGACCAAAAAAAAAAAAAATCTATACTGACGATCGTGCCATCACCACTCAAGCAGAATCAAGACACTTGGAAGAGGCCACATGAGCCATCTAGTCCAACCCCCTGCCATGCATGAAAAGTTGATCCTCTAAGGAAGTGTTTCTCAGCCTTCCTAATGCCACAGCCCCTTAATACAGTTCCTCAAGTAGTGGTGACCCCCAACCATAAGGCCAAAGTGTCTCCTTGCACGTAAACAGAACTGGGTCTCGAGGACTCCAAGGTTTTGAGATGTGGACTTCCCACAGATGATCCTCTAAGGCAGTGCTTCTCAACCTGGGGGTCAGGACCCCTGAAGGGGTTGCAAGGGGTTGTCAGAGGGGTCACCAAAGACCACCAGAAAACACAGTATTTTCTGTTGGTCATGGAGGTTCTGTGTGGGAAATTTGGCCCAATTCAATAGTTGGGGGGTTCAGAATGCTCTTTGATTGTAGGTGAACTACAAATCCCAGTAAGTACAACTCCCAAACGTCAAGGTCTATTTTCCCCAAACTCCACCAGTGTTCGTATTTGGGCACATTGAGTATTAGTGCCATGTTTGATCCATATCTATCATTGTTTGAGTCCACAGTGCTCTCTGGATGTAGGTGAACTACAACTCCCAAACTCAAGGCCAATGCCCACCAAACCCTTCCAGTATTTTCTGTTGGTCATGGGAGAACTGTGTGCCAAGTTTGGTTCACTTCCATCGTTGGTGGGGTTCAGAATGGTCTTTGATTGTAGGTGAAATATAAATCCCAGCAACTACAACTCCCAAATGACAAAACCAATTTTATTTTTTTTTTTGAGTGCAGGACATAGATTGGGTTGTTAGGTGTACGCTGTAAAATTTGGTGTCAATTCGTCCAGTGGTTTTTGAGTTCTGTTAATCCCACAAATGAACATTACATTTTTATTTATATAGATTAGAATAGCACAAGTAAGTAAGCAAGTACTTTTGTTGTTGTTGTGCCTGTGTTTTCCCTATTTCTTATCGACTTATGAATTTTTCATCGGATTTTCCTATGCAAGGAATACCCAGCAGTGGTTTGGCCGGTTCCTGGATAACAGGTCAAAACATCAGGCAACATAGCAGCAAGTTAAACAAGTTAAAGAAGACTTTGAGGCCAAAGCAAAGGCAGGACATCCTGGGAGGCCAAGAGAGGCCCCAAGGAGTGCGGGGAATGGGCGCAAAATCCCTGCCAGGCGTATAAAATTATGCATGGTATGGAGACGGCAGATAAGGGAGACGTCTTCTCGCTCTCCATAACATTAGAGCCTGGGGTCAGCCATAAAGCCGAATGAGTGGGAGATTCAGAGCAGATAAAAGGACAAATATTTCAGTGTGAGCACAGTTCAACTCTGGCATTTGTTTGCTACGTGGCCATCAATTTGGTTTAAAAAGGAGTTGCTCAATAGTATGTAAAACAGAGTCATCCTGGCTACCAATCTGTCTCTGCAGAATATAGGGGAATTCCAGGCAGGAAACAATCAGGGCCAGCTAGTTTATTTATCGTGTCAGGAGCAACCAGTCAATTGTATTACATTTTTAACAAAACAAACAAACAGACACAAAACAAAGTTTGCAAGCCTGGTAGTTGATTAAATGTCCTTTGACCAGTCTCTGGCCGCTTGGAGTGCCTCTGGTGTTGCCACAAGAAGGTCCTCCCTTGTGCATCATGTGGCAGGGCTCAGGTTGCATTGCAGCCGGTGGTCAGTGGTTTGCTCTTCTCCACACTCGCATGTCGTGGATTCCACTTTGTGGCCCCATTTCTTGAGGTTGGCTCTGCATCTCGTGGTGCCAGAGCGCAGTCTGTTCAGCGCCTTCCAAGCCGCCCAGTTTTCTGTGTGCCCAGGAGGGAGTCTCTCATTGGGTATCAGCCATTGGATTGAGGTTCTGGGTTTGAGCCTGCCACTTTTGGACTCTCGCTTGCTGAGGTGTTACAGCGAGTGTCTCTGTAGATCTTAGAAAACTATTTCTTGATTTAAGTCGTTGACGTGCTGGCTGATACCCAAACAAGGGATGAGCTGGAGATGTCTCTGCCTTGGTCCTTTCACTATTGGCTGCTACTTCCCTGGCGGATGTCAGGTGGTGCAATACCGGCTAAGCAGTGTAATTTCTCCAGTGATGTAGGGCAGACACCCCGTGATAATGCGGCATGTCTCATTAAGAGCCACATCCACTGTTTTAGTGTGGTGAGATGTGTTCCACACTGGGCATGCGTACTCAGCAGCAGAGTAGCACAGCGCAAGGGCAGATGTCTTCACTGTATCTGGTTGTGATCCCCAGGTTGTGCCAGTCAGCTTTCGTATGATATTGTTTCTAGCACCCACTTTTTGCTTGATGTTCAGGCAGTGCTTCTTGTAGGTCAGAGCACGGTCCAGAGTGACTCCCAGGTATTTGGGTGCGCTGCAATGCTCCAGTGGGATTCCTTCCCAGGTAATAATCCTCAGAGCTCGGGATGCTTGTCTGTTCTTAAGGTGAAAGGCACATGTCTGTGTTTTAGATGGATTAGGGATCAGCTGGTTTTCCCTGTAGTAGGCAGTAAGAGCACCTAGAGCTTCGGAGAGCTTCTGTTCAACCATCTCAAAGCTCCCTGCTTGAGTGGTGATGGCACGATCATCAGCATAGATGAAACTCTCTGTCCCTTCTGGCAGTGGCTGGTCATTTGTGTAGATGTTGAACATGGATGGAGCAAGCACGCTCCCCTGAGGCAAGCAGTTCTTTTGTTTCTGCCATCTACTTCTCTGGCCCTGGAACTCAACAAAAAAGCTCCTGTTTTGTAGCAGGTTTCCTATGAGGCGGGTGAAAAGGTAATCCTTTGTGATATTACACATTTTTCTCAGGAGGAGGCGGTGGTTCACAGTATCATAAGCCGCTGACAGGTCTATGAAGACGGCTCAGATGGAAAAAGTCAAATGACATTTGTGGCATGGTTTTCAGTAATAAATTTGTCACCTTCTGCTATATATGAAATTTAGGGCATAAAACATTGATTAAATGCACACACTATCTGACATAGGAAGAGTCCCTGTTGTTGTTGGTGTCTTTGCAAATTGTCCAAGACTTGACCCCTATTATCCAGCCTGATGTCCTTATACTTAGCAAAACTATAAGTTACTATCTCTAATGGGCGGCGGGGGGGGGGGGTCATGTTTGACTTCACTAAAATTGTCCACATGCTTGTGAATTTCAATGGCTTCTTTGTGTCGTCTGACATAGTGGTTGTGAGAGTGGTCCAGCATTTCTGTGTTCTCCAATAATATGCCGTGTCCAGGTTGGTGCTCTGCTATGGCTGACTTCTCTGGTTAAGTTAGTCTGCAGTGCCTTTCATGTCCCTTGATTCGTGCCCGGACAATGCTGCTGTGTTTGTGGGTCCCTATGTAGACGTGTCCACGGCTGCGTGGTACATGGTAGGCAAAGAATCCTCCGAGGTGCCGGTTCCCTTCTCTCCCTCCCTCTCTTCTTAAATTCAATTCCTGACAGTGGTATCTGACATTGTCAAATGGTTTTTGTGTCTACCATCGGGGAAAATCTTCTGTAATAGCAATGCACCGGCTTCCCTGACGAGGCGCCCCTGGGAGACTGTTTCTTAGTTAAGCCTGTCTGCCTGGATAATGATTTTCAAATAAGTAAATCTATTAATGGGATCGCA